GAATAACATATAAACTAAGGTTTGGATTTAGGCCTAAGAACAGATTTTAATGATTGAAGGGTCGAAACTTAAATATTCATTAGTTAATTGCATTTAACATTTGCACTCATCAATTAGTGCAGCAGACAGTATTTTAAGAAACAAAATCACTCATATAACCGCCCGTTTGTTCAATATTTTTTTTTTCCCGACAAATTTGAATTATGTCGAAATGGTTCCAATATGTTCGACAGGCGAGCTATCGAAAGTTTATTTCTCTTAATTTTGATTTTACATTTTGCGTGTTTCGCAATATCTCGAGGAATTTTCAAGCTCATCGAAACATTTTGTACACAGTTATAAAATTCTTTTTTCCAAGTATCGATCCAAAAAAAGCTCTAAATAATTATTTGTTATTATTTTTGTGATTACGTTTTAAAAATATTTCTGTTATAAGACTTATAAATTTTTAAATCATTTTAAGGAATTTTTTTTTTAAATATATAAAGTAAAATATTCAGCTTCCTTTTACTTGAGAGATGTTGAAAAATAAATAATAATAATTTAGGTTGTTCAAAATTTTGAAACTACCTTTTCAGAAAACAGAATATATTTAATAAATTATTTTAAATTTACGAAGTTTCACCTATATTAAACTTAGCAAAATAAGCTTAATTATCATATCTACTAGCAATAAATTAGGCTGGTGGATATTGAGAAAAAAGAAGAGAAAAATTAATGAATCCCTTTAATTCCATTGGTATACTTCAAATAAGTTATTTTTTCTTCATTGATAGTAATGAACAATAAAATAGACTTCTTGTGAGTTCAGAAGAAAGGTTTATAAGTATTCTTCTTTTAGATCTGAAAATATTTTCTGTTCTTGTGTTGCTCTTGAATAGGCTTCTCAACAATTAAAAAGTGGTTCAGTTATAAACACAACACTGTATAATTACAAGTATGTTTGAAAGTTCTGTGCCTGAATTTGAAATAAGCAAAAGAAGCCTTTATTCATGTTATAATGAATTACACATGTTTTTTTTTTTAATATTTTCCAATTCATTAGGTTTTCGAACGTTATTATGGATATTTATTCGTCGCTGCTTTTAAATTCAATATTGGTTTCATTCTACAAGCAACAGTTTTTATGGAGTTTAATAACTGTATTTACATGCAGAATTTTTTTTTAAAATTTAATTTGAGTGACTACTTAGAGTTCCCACCTCTCTCCTACGTAGAAAGTAATTGGAAGAAGGAGATAATGCATTTACGTTCATGATACGATTACGTTACATTTGTCTGTAATGGAAAAATTATCGATATGATTTTTTAACATTACAAATAAATATTATTCATTCACGGGGACCATTTCTGGCACAAAGGTTGTGGTCCTTACGCAATGTATTCAGAAACAACACCACATACGAATAAAATGTAAAAAGTGGTAGAAATTTCATTTATTTATTATCTCGTTAATTACTTTAGTCAAATTTCACGCCAGGTAGCGGCAAACATGTTGGCATCCACAGAGGCTATTGCGGTAGTAATTCTGGTTTTTAGGTCAACATTGTCCTTTATAAATCCCCAAAGAAACAAGTACGGCGGCGTTATATCAGGTGATCTGGGTGGCCAATGAATTGGACAATTGTATCTACTTCGTTTTCTTTTTTTTTTTTTTTCAAAGTATTTTACGAGTGGTAGACAAATAAAAATTCAAAAATTTTATTTGGTTTTAATTAGTTATTAACGTCCTCTCCTCATTTAAGTTGATCCGAATTTTGCATGGGTTAATATAACATCATTTTTAAAATATTCAAGCACGATCTTTTAAATTATGCCTTTATTATTACCTTGTTTTTACACTAATCTTTTCATTTAAGAAAGCATTTCCATGCTAAATCTGTGTGAAAAAGTTTCTTTTCGCAGCGAATATTTTAAAATATTTTACATGGCATAAGTAAAAATATCATACTCGAAGCTTTTAGAAATTAAATAATTTTTACCCATGCAAAGTTTGGATCGATCGAAATGAGAATAACTAGTTAATAACTTTTTAATAGGTTTGATACAACATTACTTTTGCAATTTAAATCTCCCAAACTATTAGCTGCGAACAAAAATATTACTCACATAAAGTAAATATAGAACTGTTTCCATATTTTTCTTTAACTCCTGTATAAAAACCGAAGAAAAAAATTAAGTAACTGAAAACAAAAACATTAAAATATATTAATTAATATTTGACAGCTATTCATCATAAAATTGGGCGATTTTGAAAAATTGCATACACAATTATAAATTGAAGAGTTTCAGGAAATGAAGTCAAATTATAAATTAAAAGATCTTACCTTAAAAAGCCATGGCGTAACGATTCATTTAAGGTAATTGAAAACACAAATATAAATAGAAAATTGTGCTTCAATTGTATGTTAAATTGCTTTCTTTAGTAGATGTTCTTAATTAGTTGATGTCTTTTCTTTCCTTTAAATGCCGTGTTGTTTTCATGCTTATGACTGCTCACTCGCTTGATATTTCAGTTTTCTTATCTTTGTTACCAACTTGTAAAAAAAAATTTCATTGTGTTTTTTAACAATGAATAAAATTGAGTGTTATATAATTCAGAACTGCTACCTTACTATGCTTTGTCAAAAAATTTCGTAAAATTGGTTGCCAGTTTTATGTTTCGATGCATGATTCTTTGTTTAGTAAATTTGTTTCAAAGTTGTTTTCCACACCCTTACATGTAGATGATTCAGTGATTCATACATTGTTCTAGTACTTCTCTGGTGAGGCTTTAAAATGTTTGCAAATCTAGCAAAAATTCTGAAAGCTTCAGTTGTTGATTATCTATCACTCTAAAAATTAATTTACAACAAATGTTGTCAGCCCTGCATAGTAAGTTAATGAAAGTAAGTAAGGTAATGTAAAGCAAGTTAATGACAGTCATGATACAGCTATAGTACTATTAGTTCTGACCTGTTAATGAAGTTTTTCTTTTGTTATGTAATGCTGAAGGTTAAAATAATATGAACTTCGACAGTACTTTTTATTCAAGTCATTTTCTTTCTGTTTTACTTAGTCATATGTTTCGGACAAGCATTGCTGTTTCTTTCCTCTGGGCGTATCCCTTTCATCTCTTTCCAATTATCGTGTCATGTTCAGAAAAGAATGATTTTATACAGTATGTTATCATCTACTCAAGATCGAGAGACATTTCTATTTGCTTTATTTACTCAACATTGTTTATCATTAAGATGTTAACCGAACAGATTTTTTTCCCTAAAGATTTGACTTCCGTTTTTGTATCAATCGAGAAATATAAGGAAATATCAGAGGCAATTTATATTTAACAGCATAATACGAAATTATAATGTATTATAAGTTTAAATTTAGTAGATATTTTCTTATGCTAGATAACGGTTTTATTCACATTAGAATAATTTTAATCTAAATATAGAGGCCATTTTCACAGCAGAGGATCTGTTCCACAAGTTCTTTCTATTAAGTATGAATAAAATTATTTCTATGATAAGCATTTCGTATATAGATGTTACAAGTATAGGTGAAAATTATTTTTTGAAACAGCTGAACGGATTGTTTAGAGGTCAGGGTGCTAACGTCACATCAGAAAGGTCCTGGATTCGAATCCAGGACAAGGCATGGATGGCCATTCATTCTCTGTACTATCTGTCCTTACTGTCGGAGCAACGTTGGCATGTGATGCCCCTAAAAGAGTGGTTCAAAAAATCTACCTTGATGATACTTGAGTGACAAGTGTCAATCGGGTGAGCATTGAAAAAAAACACTTTTTGAAATTTTTTTTGACAAAAATAATGTTCTGCGTCACTGATAGATTGAAATAGCGAAATCCAGAGTAGGATTTGGAGAAAAATTATATAAAGTTGCAAGGATTTTATTACTAAATTTCTCGAACAATACTCTGATAGCCTAATAACGAAAGAGGTGGAACAACATGGCATAAACAATGTCTAAATTCATTAATCATTGTAGGGGACTGTTGTAGATTGATTCAGTGGTGAATGGGGGCATAAATTAAAGAAACCTTATTTAATAACAAATAAATTTTATAATAAAACCAATTAAAATATATGCTACGAAATGGGGCTCTCCAATGAGTCATCCAGTTTAATCCATTGCTTGCCACTTATGTAATAGAAATATAGTTTTGAGTGAGTGATAACAACGCCCTCTTCTAGTCAGGCAGAAATTTGTAACACTCTCCACCAGAACTCTTTTGAGTCTACTTACCATAAATTAGAAAAACAAAATTTTCAAGAACAATATTAGTTGGAATACAAAAAAATTTATCCTTAGCAGAAATTTGCAATAATAATAATTAAATGAATGTTCAATAATTAAAATAATGATATAAAACAATCAATTGTAACATATGCATATTATCAAAATAAATATATATTTAACACATTGCAATAAACATTTTTGTTTAAAAGTTAATTTCTAAATTACTTACAAGTTGAACTGAGCGTCTTATATCTCCTTTAGGGGTTTTTATAAAAGGGAACGAATATTCTCATCTCGCCCCTGATACACTTTCAAAATTCTTCCCAGCATCCACATATTTCAGAGATAACGCTCATCATTGATTAAAACAATATCATTTCCCTAAATGATGTCATCTTACCTGGTGGTAACGAAATATGAGCAGATCTTAGATGAAGTAAATATTCCTTCCTCCACCGATTCCAAAAATGATCCAAAAATATTTTTTAATATTTATACCTTTTAGTTTATGAATCTCTATTTACAATCAAGTCATTAGGTTTATACTTAACAACAGGTAAAGACATCAATCTCTTACCTACTAAAAAATGAGAAGGTGTAAGAGGAGAAGGTTCTGAGGGTTCATTATATAGATACGTATTAGGCCTAGAATTGATCGTGGCTTCAATTTCCAAAAAGACAATTTCTAATTCTTTAAGAGTTAGAGAAGATTTACCAATAATTTTCTTTAAACAAGTTTTAACTGTACGTATGTGTCGCTACCAGAAACCTTCCCACCAAGGACTTTTTTCGACAATAAATTTCCAAACAATATTTTTAGCAGCAAACATATTTTTTTCCTGAGGATCATTAATTTGATTCCACAATTTTTTTAGTTCACTATTTTCCTTTTTAAAGGCTTTTGCATTATCTGAATACAAAATCGAACACAATCCTCTACGAGAAACAAATCTTCTAAAACCCAATAAAAAAGAATCAGTATTCATGTTACTAACTAGCTCCAAATGCACAGCTCTAGTGACTGCACCGGTAAAAATTAACAAATAACACTTATTATTAGAGTCAGTAACAAAACAGGGTCTAGCGAAATCTACACCAGAAATATCAGAAGGAAGTTGTTCTTTTGTTCTGTCAGGTGGTAACGGAGCTACCACTTGAGAACCAGGTTTTATCTTATAACGTCTGCATATTAAACAGTTTCTCAAATCCATTTTTGCATATTGTCTACCTTTGATTATCCAATATTGTTCTCTTAAGTGAGTTAAAGTAGAATCTACACCTAAATGACCCTTTTTAACATGAGCATCTAATATAACTAATTCAACGAATTTATCATTAGAAGGAAGTAGTACAGGATGTTTTGTTTTCACATCATCGGTAGAGAACTGCAAACGTCCCTGTAAAAATAAAAGATTATCATCATTAAGTTTACAATTGAGATTGAAAATTCGTGAATGTTTACTCAAACTACTTTGAGAGAGGAGTTGTTGGATTTCACTCTCGTAATACAAGAGTTGAACAGTTTTAATCCAGGTATGCAAAGCATTCTGAAGTTCAGAAGCACTAATAGGTCCTTTCAACTTTGAAGAATCTGGCTTGGCATTATGGGAAAACCTTTTTACCCAAGCTGTCACTCTCAAAAGTTTAGTAAGATTGCTGTATTTGTTGACATCAATGCACTTTGTAAGAGAAATGTCAGAGGTCTGAGATTGAGTCACAGTGTTCACCGCAACAGTTCGTTGCTCCTTCTTTACCACATCACTATAATTGCCATCAGGGTGGTTGCTAAAATCTACTGCAGGCCACAAGTTAACCGGATGGGACAACCAAACTGTACCTGACCACCACAGGGAACGATTTTAGCTGCAGATTTTCTTCTAGAGATGAAATCAGCAGGATTTTCCGCACCGCTGCAATGGTTCCAACACTCTGGAAGCGAAAGTGTCTGCACTTCTGCCACTCGATTAGAAACGAATGGCTTCCAAAGTTTTGAAGATCCTTTTTCCCAGTGAAGAACAATTTTAGAATCGCTCCAATAGTATATTTGTTGAGTAAAATTTGAAAAAACATTTTGTAAATATTTCCCTAATCTAGCACCGACGAGAGCTGCCATCAATTCCAATCTAGCCAAAGTCAAAGTTTTTAATGGAGCAACCTTGCACTTAGAAATTATGAATTTAACTCGGATATGTCCTTCAATTGTTGTATAACGAAGGTACGCCACGGTTCCATAAGCCTTAGGACTTGCGTCAACAAATATGTGAAGAGAAACACCACTAATATCAGTCGTTGAACATAGTTTTCGCACTATTGTAACATATTTGTCCAAAAATGTAATTTCAGAACACCATTTTTTCCATTTCTTTACCAAATCGCTATGTAAATCATCGTCCCACTTTAAACCTCGCTCCCAAATTTCCTGTATAATTATTTTAGCGTTAATTACAAATGAACTAATGAATCCACATGGATCAAAAATTTTAGAAATTATTTTTAACACTTGTCTTTTGGGGGGTTCCTGATTTCAAGGAATCCTTTAAATCTAATATAATTTTATCCTCAATAGGATCCCAGTTTAATCCTAAGAAACCTGCTCCTTGCACAAAATCAGTGTTTTCCTCATTTCCGTTTTTAAGCCAAAGTTCATTTAGTTCCAAACAATTAGTTTTTAGTTTCCTTAAATTAAATCTGGCGTCGCGTAATATTTCAATTGCCGATGAAGATAATTGATGCCCCACCATCATGCCTGCTACACCTCACATGATTCCTTTCTTCATTTTTACCTCATTTCAGGTTCTATTCCGAGCCTACATCACATCTTTCCTATGTATGTTCCCGCCATGGGATATTTCAAGATGAATGGGAAAAGGGCCATTTAGGCCTCAGATGCCCAGTTCTACAACAACGAACGAACGAACGACACTGTAGGATATTTAAACGGAAATACATACTAAAAGGGCACGTAAAATTTAGAAAAGAAAAATAATAATAAAAGGAGAAATAAATAAAGACATTTACAAAAAGGATGAGAAAAAAGAAAAATTAAAATTAGTACACAAAACAAAGTGATTTATAAATTTGCATTAAAAACTGAATCAATGTATTTGCAGAAAAGTTTGAAGATGGCTTTGTTACCCACAAAAGTTCGAAGAGAGGGAGGAAAGTTAATATTAGCGACTTTAAAGCAATTATTAAGTTTTTTCTATTTTTCTCAAAATGTGAGCATTTTACAATAAAATGCTCAACGTCCTGTGTTCCTCCAATATTGTAATCACACAGATCACTGGAACTTAAGCCAAATCTTTTCAAATATGTCTTGAAGTTGCCGTGTCCAGTGAGAAATTGCGTCACATAAAAGTTGCAGAAAAAATGTTGGTTTTTAAGTCTTTGATTAACAGATGGAAAGAAGAGTTTAGTCAGTGAAGCGTAGCAAGTTGGCAATTCAAATAATCTACAAAACATGTGATATAAAAGCTTTTCAAATTTTAATATCTTTTATTGAAATTCTAAATTTTAATCGTCATTACTTTTTGCAATTTTAATCACCCTTGGCAAACTTGGATATGCATACTTTTTAAACAAAAAATCAAATCTAGTAATAAATAATGATTTATTACAGGCTTATAATTAGCATTTATTGCGTAAAATGTTTAGTTTTAACTTTATCTTGATTGTATCTCATTGTGAATTTGACGCATAAACAAATACAAATAACAGCACTTACAGAGATATCAACTTGATCCGGACAGAAAATATATAATTTAAAGTGGTAGTATATCAATTGTTTTTCTTGGTTTAATAAATACAATTTAGTAGATTTTTATCCACCACTATTTCTAAATAAATCGTAGGTTTATCTTATTCAACACTTCAAATATGCAAAATTCACTTCGTAGTTATTTATCGTTTTGTTAAAAAATTATTTTGGCGTGTCCGGAACAGTTGGCATCTCTGCACTTAGAAAGCAATGTAATTATATACTTATGAGAAAAAAAATGAAACTATGAGGTATATATTTATGAAATATTCTAGTATTTTATTTTTCAATACTCGAACTAAGCAACTGATACCTTCAAAATATGACACTCTGACATCAATTGACACTCTGCGTTTTTTCTTTCTATTATTGCTTAATGGTAACAGTTGTTTATCGCTTGTTTCATTTGAGATAACGATATCGGATAACAAATAGAAGTATTGTCGGTACATTCCTATTTATTATTAATGTGATGTTTGCTTGATTACTCAAAATTTTGTCTAAATTACGATCGCAACAAATTGACGCATACTCGTAGAGATAGGTATACCACATAGAGAATTTCAATATTTCAACGCTTTTGAAGAAAATAGACTTCAATCTATATTTACCTCGATCAATGGATTAAAGTCATTAAGAGATAAAATAAAAATGCAAACGGGTTTTGTAATTTTCGTTATAAAATTTGAAATGCGTCAAAATGACGCGTCCCGTAAACCTGGTGCTAAAATTGAAAATTTCCAACATCACCACTTCTCGCAGTTTTAGTCACTCGTGGCAAACCTAGATATGTTTACTTTTTCTAAACAAAATCAAATCTTGTAATAATTAAGGATTTATTACAGGCTTATAATTAGCATTTATTGCACAAAATGTTTAGTTTTAACTGTTTTTTTTAATTCTATCTTTTTTTTGATGCAAGGAAATTAAAACTCTGAATAACATATAAACTAATGATCAGAGTTTGGCCTAAGAACAGATTTTAATGATTCAAGGGTCGAAACTTATATATTCATTAATTAATTGCATTAAACATTTGCACTCGTTAATTAGTGCAGGAGACAGTATTTTAAGAAGCAAAATCACTCATAGAACAGCACAGTTTTTTTAAATAACTTGCTTCCCGACAAATTTAAATTGTGTCGAAATGGTTCCAATATGTTGGACAGGCGAGCGATCTAAAGTTTAGTTCTCTTAATATTGAATTTACTTTTCGCGTGTTTCGCAATATCTCGAAGAAGTTTCAAGATCATCGAAACATTTTGTACACATTTATATAATTCTTTTATCCAAGTATCTATGCAAAAAATAGCTTTAAATAATTATTTATTATTTTTTTGTGAATACATTTTAAAAATATTTCAATTTTAAGATATATAAATTATCAAAGCATTTTAAGGAAGGTATTTTTTAAATATATAAAATAAAATATTCAGCTTCCTCTTACTTGAGAGATGTTGAAAAATAAATAATATTAATTTAGGTTGTTCAAAATTTTGAAACTACCGTTTCAGAAAATAGAATATATTTAACAAACAATTTTAAATTTAAAGAGCTATATGCTTGTTATTTGTTGAAAACGCTTCATTAACATATCCACTAGCAATGGATTTGGCTGGTGGATATTGAGAAAGAAAAAAGAAAAAAATTCCATTGATATACTTAAAAAAAGTTATTTTTTCTTTAAGTAGAGAATAATATAATGCACTTCTCATACCTGCCAACTCTTCCGGATGATTTTATTTTCATATTTAAAGTGGTAGCAATACTCTGGTTATTCCAATTAACTTTTCGAATTATAATGATAATTATAAATGAGTTTGACCACCACTACATATAAATAATTACAAAAAATATATAAAAGCATAATAATCCCAGAGCAAGCGAATTTCATCGGGATCAAAATATAAATACATTTTTGAATCAGATTGTATTTCGTATATTGTTTTACAACCACTCTGAAAATCCATTAATCGGAAAGAGTGAAAGTTGGCAGGTATGATTCTTGTGAGTTCAGAAGAAAGGTTGATAAGTATTCTTCGTTTAGGTCTGAAAATATTTTCTGTTCTTGTGTTGCTCTTGAATAGGCTTCTCAACAATTAAAAAGTGGTTCAATTATAAACACAACAATATATAATTACAAGTATGTTTGAAAGTTCTGTGCCAGAATTTGAAATAAGAAAACGAAGCCTTTATTCATGTTATAATGAATTACACAAGTTTTTTTTTTTTTAATATTTTCCAATTCATTAGTTTTTTGAACATTATTATGGATATTTATTTGTCGCTGCTTTTAAATTCGATATTGGTTTCATTCCACTAGCTACAGATTTCATAGAATTTAATAATTGTATTTATATGCAGAATTTTTAAAAAATTTAATTTGAGTGACTACTTAGAGTTCCCACCTCTCTACTACGTAGAATGTGTGTTGGAAGTAGGAGATAATGCATTTGCGTTTATGATACGATTACGATTTCGTCTGTAATGGAAAAATTATCGATATGATTTTTTAACATTACAAACAAATATCGTCGTCGCGAATTTAACAAGGCGTTTA